AATAAATTTATTTTAATCTAAATTTTTCTATTTATTTATTTATATATATATTACTAAATTTTTCTTAAATTTTTAAAATCTTACCTCTAGAAATAAGCAGCAACACTAAATACGAAGAAAGTGATAAATTTTGTGTTTTAGATTATCCGTTTCTTATTTATTCTGGTATTATTCTGTAAATGATTAGCAACTCTAAATAATCGATTTTTTAAAAATCGAATATTGAACCTTCCCACTTTTTTATTGGCATGCTTGGTGCAATAAATCTGACAGCTGTCAAAAAGTATTTCTTAGATTTGTTTGACTATAATAAGTTTCTACTTTGTCTATGATTTTTTACATAAGGGCAACATTGTGATTAGTTTTTTATAACATATTGATTTGTTTTCGACGGATCAACGGAGTGAAGTTCGTACTACTCAGAAATACGTATTCCAAAGTTTTTCTTTCTATTTTATGTAAGTACTTACGCCAATACAGGCGTATTTAATTTTATATAAGTTCATCTGGACTCCAGTCGCGTAATTTAGTGTTTTACAAACATGTTTTCACTCCACGGTAATAGTGCCAATAGATAAATGTGTTGGGGAGTGCTTGAGTTTAGTTCAGTCAGTCAGTCTTGTGTCATCGTGTTGGGAATACAGTACGCCATTTAGTTCGTGATATAAAAACACAAGGAATGTGCTTGTCGTTTCTCGTAGTTGATTTAAAGCTACGGCAAACACACTAATTCGTAATGTTGTGGAAAACGAGAGACATTTAGGACGATATTAGTTATGGCAAATAATTGTTTAGATACTCGTTACAACAAAACGAAATGCCGTTCGAGGAAGGGACCACTGTTTCGTTCATGGATTTGGTGCATTTTGGTGAAGTGTTTTATAAGTTTGCCATGTATATTTTCGAAATGCCTAGGAGTGGATATCACAGTTGCCGTATACCCTCAAGGTGACGTCAGTGTTCTATATGGCGAACCATTGGAAATATTTTGCGTTGCTGAAAATTATTCCTCTGAAGACATCGAATTTACATTAGCTGGAAAACCTTTTCCTTCTACAATCGTTAACAGCACGACAAGAAGGCTGTATATTGACAAGCCTGAAAAGCAAGTAAATACTTACTATTGTAAGAACAAGAAAACTAAAAAAATTTGTACCAACCGTGTACTAGTCGATTCGCCTCCAGAAAATATAACTGACTTTAGTTGTCTTTCTAAAAACCTTGAGGTTTTAAATTGTTCATGGACATCACCAGATTCTTATAGTAATATTAATTATTCTTTGACATTTTTAATAAATGGAAACTCTGTGCAGCCTTGCATTGCTAAGAAAATTGAAAATACTAGATACTGTACTTGGAACACCAGTAGCCAGCCTCGTTACAGACAGCAAGAGGAAGAATTTTATTTTAATCTTAAGTCCTGTAATGTATTTGGCTGTAATGAACAAAATTTCACTGTGGATCACTTTTCAGTTGTGAAACCGGACCCTCCAGCAGACTTAAAAGTACTCAGTAATGGTACACATAGTGTTGTGTTACAATGGAGTATTCCCAATAATGTTGTGGATTTATTGCCATGTGGAGTGGAACATAGAATTGAATATCAAATAGCTAAAATTGATAATACTGCCTATTTCCACAGTGTTGATGCTTCGTTTCTGCCACCTAATAACAAAACATATAGATTCCAGTTAACCAACTTGCCATATGCTCATATGCAGTATGAAGTTCGCATCTATATCAAATCTAGAAAAGCTGTTCACAATGAATTTTGGTCAGAATTCAGTTATATAGTTTTTTATACAGCTAGCGAACGGCCTGGACGGCCACCGGAAATGACAGCAGGGGGGTTTAATCAAGCCACATATAATAATAAAAGAGTAATCTATGTGTACTGGAAACAGTTGGAAGAATATGAGGAGGCTGGAGCAAATTTTACTTATAAAGTGCTTATTCAACAAGGAAGCAAAACACAGACTTTGTTGGCTGACAAAAATAAAAGTTTAAGTTATGTTTTTCTTGAAGTTGCATCTTTAGATGCGATGGAAGTATCAGTTTGGTCCCTTAATATGAATGGACCGTCTGTTAACAGTAGCCATCTATATATACCACCTGCAAGAGACACCCATTCATTAGATGTTACTTCATTTACTAAACTTGCATATGAAAATGGTACTTATGAATTGTCATGGGTTGGAATTGATAAAATAGATAACTATACATTGTTCTGGTGCCATCATAACAGCACAAAAATATGTCATGGTCGCTTAAATTTCACAGTTTTAGAACCTAACAAAAGCAATCATGTCATAGATCTGCCAAGAGATTACAGATACCAGTTTGCTATTTCTGCTAATAATGGTACAAAAACCAGCGGAATGATATGGGCCATATGTGATATCTCCAAAGATGGGATTGCAATGTATGGATTTCCATTACATTTGAAATATGATGCTCCTGGTAAATCATTTGTCAAACTAAGGTGGCTAATGGATTGCGCATTGCAAGATGGAATTATCACTGGTTATAATATAACATACTGTCCCGTCATTAGAACAAGCAGTCTGTGTGATGCGAGTGTGGGGAACCAATCCGTTTACATCTCTGATCCCACCAAGATGGAAATTAACATTACAAACCTGCTTCCATTCAGAACCTATCAGTTCACTATTGCCTTGAATACAACATATGGCTTAAAGACCATAGAAAATGCTACAGCTGTTATCACAACATCAGAGGATACTCCGACAAGTCCCAGAAACATAACAATATCAGAAGTAAAAAATGATTCTTTAGTAATATCTTGGGATCCTCCTCTGCATAGGAATGGGATTATTGGTAAATATGTGATTTATAATTATGGAAAGGAGTTCTATGTTGATAAGGTGTCGGGAACTGACACATCCCGAAGACAAGTTACTCTTACAGGGCTTCAGGGGTTTACTAACTACTCTTGGACTGTTCAGGCTTGCAATGTACCAATAGGTCTATGTTCTAAAATTGGTAGACATGAAGGTATATTTGTGAGGACAAGAATTGGTCCACCTAGTAGGTTGAAAGCACCAACTGTAAAAAACAACCCAGATCTTCTTAAGTGGGAACCTCCTGAAATTCCTGGCGGTACTGTAGACTACTATCAAGTTAGAAGAATCAAAGATGATTTGGAACCTGAAATTATGAATGCTACAGATTTGTCATTTTCCTTAGTGCATTGTGAAGGAGTAGTTGTAAGTGAAACTTATCAAGTTAGAGCCGTCAATTGTGATGAGGATCCTGATCATGGAGCACTTGCAGACAAAGAAAATGTGAATCTAACCAACCAAAAGGATCAGAGTAGCAATGTGTATTATGGTGAATGGAGTGAACCGAGTACTGTAGCTTGTCGAAGCAGAGATGGTTTGACTATGACACTCATTTTGATGACTGTATTTGCACTCATTGGCATTGTATACTGCTTAATCAAATTGTATAAAAAATATAGAAAAATGGAGGATATTAAACCTGTTTTGCCCAATGGCTTAGGTATCCCCGAAAAAGATATATCGAAATACACATTTGGTGGTTGGAATCCAACTACTAAAGATGATAAACCATCCTCTGATGAGGTGTTACTTCTTCCCAACAGTAAAACAACAGTATCATCTACAGATACTAAACAGAAAAGCAATGACAACTGTGGTGCAAGTGACCACACAGACAGTACTGCTTTATCAGATTCATCTCGAGGACCCGTAGACAGGCAAGCGTCAACATCAGATGATGGATCGAATACCTCTTTACACATGGAAGTTGAAACAATAAAAGATGATGAAAATAACACTATTCATGATGAAGATTCAAATGATGATATTGAAAGCTTCAAAGAAAATTCTCCATATTATAGTGATAAAGCTTTCAAGAAAGATCCTGCAAGTGGTTATGTACAACCAGTAGTGAACCCAGCGACTGGTTACGTGCAATCAGCACCAGCGCCTCTCAAAAACCCACCACAAAACACTACAGATAAACCTGCAAGCTCAAGCTATGTTATGGCTGGACTAACACCACCAATATTTACAACTGGTGTATCGCCATCGAGTGCACTGGGTCAACCACCGCCTTCATCAGGGTATGTGCGACCTGAAGATGCACAGCCAAAATCCATGTTGAATATCCCGAAGCTGGGAGCGACACCTACAAAGATGCTTGGGCCAGAGAGCTTGCCGACGATGCCCACCTTGCCACCGCCCGTGAAAACCGGTGCAGACAGTAGCTACATCCAGTTACAGTCTTTGGATGCCATCCCTAGTCTTAAATCAAGTGTGCGAAACACAGTGCCATTAAAGCCGTCCGCTTCGAACGGTTATGTGAGTCCCGGAGATGTAGTAATAAATAAGCATTTAAATAACATGCTGTCTGCGGGCCAATTAGCCGAGGAGTCCGCCATATTAGACCCGACGATGTCGCCCGATGCCTACTGTCGCTTCTCGTGGAGCACTGACCCCGCAAATGATAATCTCCACTCGTTACTCGCTGATACGCCGTCGTTAAACTCTAATAAGAATTGAGTCAATCATTGCATAGTATAGTGACCCAGTACTGATATAAATAAACTCCTTAGTGACTGAATTGTAAATATTGGACTAAACTAGCTTTATTGAGTGCTATATAAAATATTGGACATGCATAATTTAACACAAGAAAGTGGATGTGTCGTCTAGTGATAATCCTTGTGCCTTATTAATTTATTTTAGGTGATTCTAAAGAAGTCGAGTGGGTAAGATTTAAAAGTTTTCATTTTATTATTGCAATTAGTGTGATACAATTTGCTATAAGACTCATAATGCGTACACAAAGGATAGGCTAATCCAATACAAATGTACGTATGTAAATGTACGTACCTATGTAATGAAACATATGTATTTTGCATGACAGCTAAAAAATATTTGATAATCCGTTTTGTGTAATTGCATAAGATTTTTGTTTGTTTCAGATAATTAACACTCGCATAACGGTCAACAATGGAAGGTATCTATAAAGTCAATTTGATACCAAACGATCTGAGCATGGAAGAGACAATACTTCAGATCGCCGACACCCTAGACAACCTCAACGGGATAGTCGACGATGTGTTCACACGCGTGACGCTCAGAATCAAACAGAACATGGAAAAAACTGACAATATCAAAAGAAGGATTGAAATATCAAAAGCAAAAGTAGAAAAGCTCAGTGGCATGCAGAAAGCTATTAAAGTATTTTCAAGCGCCAAATACCCAACATCTCTTGTTCATAATCATTACAAATCTGTCTTTGATCTAAATTGCTATCAACATGAGCCCCAAAAGATTACTCTAATTGGAGAATCTCAAAGGCAACCAAATGAAAATAAGATTCAGGTAGTATCCTTTTATATAAAAGTTGAGAACTATTTGTTCATTATTTTCATTGATGTTAACTTAAATGTTTATTGGTTGTAGGAAAAATTGCATTTCTATCATGTTAAAGTCGCCGATCCTAAGGAACCGAAACCTAAATTGGACAATTATTTAGAATCTGTTATAACTCAAGTCTCAGCAGTTGGCGACCTCTTGATATTCAACACTGACGAGTGCCCGTACATTCGAAGCAGCACTAAAACTCCAGTCTATGTGCCGCGGGTTATAACTAACGTCGCAAATAAAGTGTCATTGGAAGAGGCACCACCTTCCATTGCAAAGAGAAACGTATTGAAGCGGGAGGCCGACGAATACATGTACGCGCCAGGCATGGGATTGGTAGGTAGACCATATATCCTTAGCTTTAAGATATACATTTTATCCAGATTTCATTTATTAGGCACATGTTTGACAGTGAAAGAAAACATGACACTAACACACAACACATAAACGCTACATGCACACATACACATACATACACATGCATATAATCTTAGTTTAGGTAGTAAGCTTAGTTTGTTATAGGTAGCTAGATTATTTATTTTAAAGTTTAGTACCTATTTATATGGCAATATCCATTGTGTAACCTTGCTTTGAAAGAGCGTTGCTTCCTAGCATAAGCAAGATCATTTGCTTAAAAGGAAGTTTCAATTACTTGAAATAGTATTAAGTTAACAAAAGCGTACACTTGCTTTATTGTGAGCCATGGGTAGCTTATTCACAGAACGCGAGCAACCCGATTTCGGTCCTCGCAGGCACTAATGAAATTGTTAATTTTAATTTTAAGTGCTGATTTACCACGTGCTCATGCTCAGCGGTAAAGGAAAACATCGTCAGCAAACCTGCATGTCTGAGAAATTAAAATAAAATATTTACGCCAACACGCATTAGGGCAACACGGCTGACAGTTCCTTGCCCTAAAACCATCTGAAAAGTGAGAGGAGGCCTGTGCCTAGCCGTGGGACGTATAAAGCTGTAACTTTAACTTTAAGTTACCAGAATAAATTATTTGTAACTAGTACATTGCGCATGCACGTACTAGGTTAATGCGTTATTATTTATCCCCTTCTCAATTACATGCATAGAATGTCCATCCGCTATTTTTCATTTACAAAATGATGTGGTTAAACGTTCGTTAAATTGTGATATGGGGTTCAGGACGACCTTTTGATGCAGAACTAAACAAAAAACGTATTTTGAGTTCGAATCCCAATCAAAGAATAATTAAGTTTGATACAATTTTACGTTATCATCTTTAAGAATACTATCATGTGTCCATCAGGTGCCGGAGTTGGATATGCCCCTCGACCTTCCCCACCTGCCGGGCATAGCCGGAGATGTCCAATTCTCCGTAACCACCGACGGTTCCATCGCACCGTCAGCCGTTACATCGCCTGTCGCCCCGGTTGCCGTACCGGAACTACCGGACTTGGATTTGAAAGAACTACCGGACATTGAGGATCCGGTCGCACCGTCCGTTTCTGATATACCGGACGCGCCACCTCCGATTCCACCCGCGCCACCTTCTTCATTGCCTAACGTTATGGTCGCCCCACCACCACCTCCGCCCCCACCACCGCCTCCACCACCGCCGCCGATGGACGACCCTAAACCAGAAAATATAAGGTAAGTTTTTATTTGTACAGAACTATAGTTTAAAAGTTTTCATACAGGCGTTGTTATTAAATGTATTTATACATCAAGTACTGCTAAAATTTAGGCATCTGAGCATGTTTCCACTTTCGTATCTAATCTCGGTAAACAATCTATCTATGCTGTTTTATATTCTAGGTTCCCCGAATCTAAACTCTACTTTTGTTTCTAAATCATAAGTGCCATTAATATACACTGGTATTGCCGTAAGTTTTATTCTAAACTAGGTGTTCCCCACGGCTTCGCCCGCGTGTAATTTAGGGTTTTAATTTTTTTTGCGCGCAAATCTAATTGTTTTTCTGAAATAAAGGTAACTTAAGTTACTAGTTATAACACCAGCTATCTGCCTGTGTAAGTTCCGTCAAAATCAATCCAGACATTTCGGAAATAAACCGGAACAAACAGACAGACGGATAAAATGTTTAAAAATTGTTTTTTTTTTGTCATAAATATTAAGTACCGCATATACTTTCATACGCATTTAGTAAAAAGCTGTTGTTTTAACATTACAAACAGGCACTTCATTATATTTATTTGTATAACTAGAATGAAAATCAGTTTGAAAGCGAAAATAGTATTTAGTTATCCTGCAGCTTTAAATCTTAAATCATGTTCCTTAAAATTATTAGGGGGGGGGGGTGTAAAAAAAAAATATTAAGGTTTTTTTTCTTTATTACAATTATTTCAAGTAATCACTTTCGACTTATATTCGAGTGTTTTTGATCTACGGATTAATATTTCTAAGTTTAACTGAGAACGCTCACAAACTAATTAGAAATTTAATAATTTTAATGGCTTTTAGTTCTGGCAGACGGACCCGACATTAGCGTTTACTGTGATAGTTTCGACGTCATGAAATAGCTGGAAATTTTCTTTACTTAATTTGGAATAATTTCAAAACTTCATAAAAGTGAATAAGTTTTCCATATAATACATGGCATGTGAAGCTTCACTTGCAAGTAAACATAAAATGTTTGATTATCGTTATCTCTTACGTTTTCGGAAATGCGTTTTTTATGAAATATTGTATTCGTTATTACTTACGTTTTGATACGAAAGATTTACAAACCGAGCATAGCTGTTTTAAGTCAAAGCGCCTCCATTGTACTGGCGTGTTAAATACTCATTAAATATGTCTAGACTAATATTTGCTTCAAATGAACGAAAATTAATTAAAATAATTCGGTTGTTGATTGATTTTGATTTAGCTTTGCCTTATCTTTGTATAAATTGAGCAATGTATTGAAATTTCATAGTAATTAAATATTGATTTTCGTAGAAATACCGCTTAGTTAACATTTATCAACTGAATTAAAAAAGGCTGTTCTCAATTAGACGTAATAAATAAATTTTTAAGCGATTATTCTCTAACACGTTAAAAAGAAGTATTTCAGTGGACACATATAAATTTGGTCTGATTTGATGAAAAAGTCATCAAACTCGACAATTTGCTAAGGCATCTTGCGCGACTTTTGTGCAAATTATTCTTTACCAGATCAACCGATTTTGATAATAAAACAAATTAGTTTTTTGAAGTTGGTTGTTAGTTTTTTTTAATTTTATTTTATATTTCGCTATATATATAAAGCATATGTATAAAGGCCGGTAACGTATCTGCAATTCCCCTGGTGTTGCAGTTGTTCATGGGCGGCGGTAATCACTTGACATCAAGTGAGCCGTATGTTGTTTGCCCCCCCCCTCCTATATAAAAATGTTCTTAGTACGCCTATCATGTTCGTAATTGTTACACAAAGAAACAGAACTGAAGAAGATAATGGGTGCGTTTGGCAGAAAAAAGCGCTAGCAAGCGCTTGTAAGCAAAATGGCGATCGTAAGCGGTAAGCGCTGTCAAATCGTAAGTAGCTATTTTCCTCCAGGACACGATGTTAGTTTCCTAAGAACCTTAACCTAGAACCTAAACTAATTTAAATATATGTTTGTAAAGTATTTATATTAAAAAACTTACCAATCATGAATTTTTAATAACATGTATATGTTTATTCATGTCACTATATTACTTAAAACTATTATTGCACAAAACAACTTATAAACTCTACTTCAAAACAAACAAATTAAATAAGCAAAATGGCGGATAGTGTCAGCGCTACTGAAGTAGCAATCGTGTCCTGGCCGAAAATTATTTCAGCGCTTATAAGCGCTTGCTAGCGCTTTTTTCTGCCAAACGCACCCAATATCTAATGATTTCTTAAATTTACGCGAATCGCAAATTTAGCGAGGATCCCAAGCAGATGGCAGCACCCATCCATCTTCTCTATTGAAATTAGGATGTTTTTTAATTTCAATAGCCTCGCCTATAATAACAAAATTAAACCCAAACCTAAGCATACCACTGCAAAACATCAAGATACTGTAAGCTCATTTTGCGTAGATCGGACCAAAAAAATAATATTCAAAAACTGAAGGTAGCCGGGCTAACTATGTCATTGGGATGTCAAACATGTTAGTCCCCCCCTGTGACCATGGGTGCTGTAAAGCACCCGAAACGTCGGGATTTAAAAATAATAATAAGTTAAAATAGTTAATTAAACGCGATAAAATCCGTAAATGTAGTTTTATTCAAGATAATATTATCTTTTAATAATTTTTTAACTTAAACATTTTTTTCAATATATGCTAAAACCAAAAGAAATGCCTTTTTAAAATTTTGATGATTTCAGTTATTACATGTTGTTTTGATTTTTCAGAATTTTAAAAATCTAACCGTATTAAGTCACATTTTCCAAAGATAAATAATTCATCTCTTCCATTTACTGTGATATTTCAGAAGTGTCCATCTGTCAAGTAATTGGTTAAATTAACAATCTGTATCTCTCATTGAGCATTATCAAACACTACGTACTAGATAAAAATTGCTTCATCTCAGATTGAAACGTGTTTATTAGACCAGTGACGTATGTATGTGTATCGTAATTTACAATTAGATCGTTACGAGTTGGACTGGATCTATTATTCTGTGTTATCATCATCATCATCATTGCAGCCTTTCACAAGTCCACTGTTTAACATAGGCCTGCCCTAAGAAAATCCACAAAGCTGGATCCTAAGTCACCTGTATCCATCGACTTCCTGCATGTCTCACCAGGCCGTCACTCTATCTAGCGGGGGGCCGCCCCACACTTCGCCTACCGGTACGAGGCTGCCACTCGGGAACCTTTCTTCCCCTTAGGCGTTCGGTTCTTCGAGCTATATGGCCGGCCCATTGCCACTTCAGCTTACTAATCCGTTGGGCTATGTCGGTTACTGTGGTTCTACTGCGGATATCCTCATTTTTAAGTTTATTCTCTGTTAAATTTTAATTAATTGTTTCTTTCTGCCTAAGTTTATTGTCGTCTTTTGTCGGATTCCTTTATTCAAAAACATTTTAGTCTTCGTTATAATACACTGCTATATAATATGAACTGCTTGTAAAATTTTAAATATTGCAAACCAAATTCTTTTAGAACTTTATAACCTTGATAATAAATAAGTTTAACTGACTTCACTAAGCTCCATGCCGTAAGATGCGACAAAGGGAAGCTGAAACAGATCTGTTTCAGTTTACAGTTGTACAGTTGTACACAACTTCTTTGATAACAACACAAAATAGTTAGAAAGTTATAGAACAATTATTTTAATTAATTAAAATTTATTACACGTATGACATTTTAGACAGGTTTGTAATGAAGAATGAAACATTTTTAAATATAGATACTAGAATTTATTTCATGGAATAAGGCTGGCAAACGAGCACGCAGTCCACCTGTGTGGCAACAGTAATAAATGACTGCGTCATATGATTACAATTTACTACTTTGCGTCCAAAAACTTGGTCGGCTTTGGCTTCAAGAATCCCGAATCCTGGACCAAGTATTTGTATCGCTTAGAAGTAGTTGTCGGTGTTTTTGTGTAAAAAAGCTTCAACGAGAAAAATCCCAAGCAAAGTTTAACAAAACACTGAAAGGACATTAGGGGTATGAAATCACTATAGATATGCCCAGACACGAAAACAATTAATTTATGTTTTTGTACTAACATTGATACCGGCTTTAAACTCAGTAGCCAGGCGAAAAGACAAAATATTAATATTGGCAAATATTTTAACATAACTACATACTTATTTTATAAATTTTATTAATTCCAAGACGAGTAGCGGCGTAAATTTAAACCATTAGAGAATTTTATAAAATTACATTATTTCAAAGCCACTGTGATCCACACAATCTGAGCCACTGTGAGCCTAGAGATTGGAATGGTCATGTTACGATGTTTAAAAAAAAAACAAGTGGTAAAATTAAAAAAATTGTACAACCGACTTCGATATATAATTAAAATGTGTGAACATCGTCAATGTATTTGAAGTCAAATACGCATTATTAAAGATAACTTGAAAACTATTGTGGAATTTATATGGGACCATACGAGAAGCACTAGCTTTCAGATAAAAAGAATTATCAGTCGGTTCACCCAGAGAAAAGTTATGAGGTAACACAAATAAAAATAATATACAGTCGAATTGAATACCTTCTCCTTTTTGAAGTTGGTAAAAAATCGTTGCTTAAGGACATTAAGAGGGTAGACGGTCTGCGCGGGAATTGAAAAATAGGTATTTGAAGAAACTATTGCCGTCCCTCACCTCTGGTCTCCACCCGAAGAGTGCGATAGAGACAACTGCAGCTCAAAACGATTTTACCTACAAAAACCGTGACCCATCGTCCTTTCATATTCCCCTGTTTTCTCCTCGAAAACTAAGTCAGTTAAATTATATTTGGTATCAAAATTTAAAGGAAGAATAGATCTATGCTTCTATCATTTGCTTTTATCTTAAAATCTTTTCAAATTTCTTTGGTAGTCGTCTGATTACTTGTAAAAAGGAATTTTTTTGGTTTTGGTAAGTTCATATTTATTTTTGTAATATTTTTTGAAAAAAGTAAATGACAGGGACATGCCTTCAATAGATCTAGATTTTTATAAAC